AGTAGTAGTAGTAGTTGTTGTTGTTGTAGCAGTAGCAGTAGCAGTAGCAGTAGTAGTTGTAGCAGTAGCAGTAGCAGTAGCAGTAGCAGTAGCAGTAGCAGTAGCAGTAGCAGTAGTGGTAGTCGTAGTAGTAGTAGTAGTAGTAGCAGCAGCAGCAGCAGCAGCGGCAGCAGCAGCAGCAGCAGCAGCAGTAGCAGTAGCAGTAGCAGTTGCAGCAGTAGTAACCAGCCCTAGGTTCAAATCCCCCCAAAAACTCCACCATCGCTCAGTGGCTCCAGGTGATTTCCGTTCTGACCGCAATGCTGGCTCTGAACCTGTTCCGCTTCTTACAGCGTCCTTTGACGTTTGTCTGCGAGGCCCTTCAATAGCAAAGTTCCGAAATCCTGCCAAAAGCCTTGGGGTCGTTTGATAGTCTGCGGTGAGGACTTGCTTGCCAAGATCTGCACGGTCAAGATTGGAGGCACAGCAATGATCTGAGCAATCTGTTTCGTCGCAGTTTGGCATGATGGCACGCGGCTGGTCACTGGTCGATTGAGTTGTATACGAGGCCGAGCCTAGCTGAATGGTGGATACCAGAGATTACCAGAGTACACATGTCAAGAGGGCATACCTGCAGCACAATCTGCGGAGGATGCGTCTTGGTCCTCCTGCATGAAGTGATCTGGGTTCTCCCTGCCGTCAAGAGGGTGGCCCCGTGTTCTGCGTGGTGTGCCTTGGGTGCGCCGGCAGCACGCTTATGCCACTGCAGCCAACATGGCTTGAGGGCCGTCTTGACAGAAAGGGTTCGAGGTCACAGAGGTCGCGGGGTTTGCAGCTTTCAAAACTGCACGAGACTCGGCCCATGTCGCCAGGCAACACTTTGCTCATGGACACCATCGTCTTGGCCTTCTTGAAAGTGCCTCGCGAGGATGCTCCAATTCCGGGAAGTGACGCCAGAATCATGTGCATGTGTGTGAAGGAGCGATGTGGCCGACAAGCCGCTTGCCGTGTGCTCCATGCGGCGGTCAGCCTGACCAGCGATTTTCTGCCGTCTGTCTCTCAGCACGCTCAGGGCACCATTTTTCGAGGGCTAGAGGGGCTTGGCACAGCGCTCACGGACCGAGTCCTTCCCGGCCGGCACACATCTTTTCACATCCTTCTTCTGGAGCTTTTGGGTCTTGCAGGGCCAGTGCCCTGTCATGTGTCGCCGTGCCTCAACCCTGGAGTCCCTTCCACGGCTGGAGAGTTAAAGCAACACGTGCGCTGCTTCTTTATCTGAACGGCCACCCTCGCATGGTGTCTTGAAGCACATGAGCTCCAAAATCTGGACCCTCCGTCAACTCCAGAACTTCCTTCACAGAGGTTTGCAGCGGTATTCTTCCTGTGGCTCCTCGGCTGCATGACTTTCCTTGACTTTCAGTTTGATCTTCTGCAGCACATGGTTTAGAAAGCTACAGCTACATCACACTGACTAACTCATTACTGGTGTTCTAGGAGCTCCGGACAATGTTTCGAATCAAAGAAGGAACCTGCCAACCTTCAGTTTGAACTCCCAAACCCCAAGAATCGAACCCCAAAGCTCTCTATGAGAAGGCTCGGATATGCCTGCAGTCACTGAGCCTCCAGGGCTTTCTGGTTCCTCTAGCCCAGTTCTGTCAGCTAGGCATGCGGTGCTGCACCGGTTTGTCAGGCGAGTACAGATTTTGCTGTACATGATGTGAAGGAGGGTCGTGGAGCCTCTAGTCTACAATCAATGTATAGTACAGACTGTACCGCAAATCCTCCGGGTGCCCGCAGCAGCCCAGACCGACAAGCAGATCACCTGGAATTGAGGCTGGCATCATTGGGGATGGTCATTGCGGCTTCCCTG